TGTTAGTTTTGGTTACTTTGGGGTGTGTTTTTTTTAATTGAAACGTGTTACATTTTTTTCGCAGTTTTATTTATGGGAAGCCCTTCTTGCGAGCTTTTCTCTAAAGGTCTTGTGTATGTATGTGTGTGCACAGGCCGGGCTTTGAGTCAGTCTTGACTCCTGGCAACTTCCCGGACAAGTCCCTGCACTTTTCTTGCCAAAACTTTTGATTTTCACTTGCCTTCCTCTTCCCAGGGCTGAAGCAGAGGGCTTCATGCCTAAGGCAGGACTAGAACTCACAGTCTCCCTGTTTTTCCCTCGAAAGATTCCCTGCATGTTCAGATCAGAGACCTCAAGTCCCATCAACTTCCCTAGGAGTGTCACGATTTGGGGGTGTACAGTCTGTGGACCACCTGGCTGCGCTTCTATTCTGTGGGTTTCCCCACATGTTTTGGGAAGGACTGGAATGTTCAAGTGATTACGTTTTGAATCCTAGATATGCCGTGAACAGTTTGTGGCACTACACCAGCAACCCATTTTGGAGGACCTTGCAAAGTTTATGTTGCAGAAATACTGTTCTGATGCTCCGTAAGTTCTCTGCGACGTTGGACGTTTATTTTCTCTTTACATACCATCAAATATGTCCCTCCAGGTAGGCTCTGCAGCAGAAGGTTGCTGTGTGGAATGCTGAATGCTGCTCCTTGGGATTCCAACCTCTCCCTGTTCAGAAACCACCAGAAAAAGACTTTTTTCTGTCTTCTGCCAGTAGAGGGTTCCCCCAAGCAAGTGTGAGTGTGCCTGAAAATTAAAAAAAAAAAAAATGAAGCAGAAAGCTTTTTCTGCACGTGCCTTCGAGTCAGTGTTGATTCCTGGCGACTGTCTGGACTAGTCTCTGCAGTTTTCTTGGCCAGATTTTTTCGGAAGTGGTTAACCATTGCCTCCTTCCCAGGGTTGAGGGACTGGCCTACGGTCACCCTACTGGCTTCATGTCTAAGGCAGGACAAGAACTCCCAGTCTCCCAGTTTCTAGCCTGGTGCCTTAACCACTGCACCAAACTGGCTCTCTGCAGAAAGCTTACCTGCTTTGTTTTTCAGGTGAATACCCCCTTTCTCCAACTGAGCACCAACTGAGCGTGGTTGCTGGGATTTTGAGGAGTTGAGGCCCCAGTGCATCTAACAATGTGCCCTTGCCACAGCAGACATTACTGTGTGGTACAATCTTATGCCAGTTTGCTCCAGAGTAAATCTTATTGAATACAGAGAAGGTTGTTCCATATTGCTTTTAGAGTAGCAGACACAGAAGAGCCTTTTTGCCTGCATGTAAGAGAAGAGGGGAACCCTGTTTTCAGATGATGCTTGCCTCTGCAGTTTTTTATAAACATTTAAACTGCTTTTGGAAAACCTTCTTCTTGATTAATTGATTTGGAAGTTGGTTGATGGGTTGATCTGGCTGACTGGGAATCAGAGAATGGAAGAAGCCCAACTCACTTGATGGTGTTGTAGCACCTCCATTAAGGGATAGCCCTTTCCACATGGGCAGTATTGCCAGGAACATTTTCCTAACGCCAAGAAAAAGTCTCCTTTCTTTGTGGAACAGCACAAAATAAATCTGCTTCTTGGTTTAACAGATGCTGCTAAAAGCAGGAGAGAGTCAGATTAACAAGGGAGATATTTTTCCATGCCAGGTTCTGTCCTCTCTTCTGAGTAATAGCTCTATTTTACCCGATTTGGGGTTTTTTTCCCTCCTTTTAATGTTTTTCATTGTTTGCCCAGCTATGAACATGATTGGAGCAGTCCCCATAAAACCTAAATAGAACAAAACATTTTTTTTAAGCTTCCCTGCCAACCCTCCCATAAGACCAAGCAAAACTAAACTAGTCTATGTGGGTGGATTCAGAAAGAGCTGGAAAAGAAAATACACCCAGTGAAGGAAGATTGAACGGTCCTTAGGGAAGGAAGGAGTGATCCATTAATAGGGGACTTGCAGAAAAAATTGCACAGCACTGAGGAAGAGGGAATAGTGAGAGAGAAATTTTTTAAAAACCTGCCTTGATTTTGTTTAGTCAGTGTTTCTCAACCGTGGCAACTTTAAGATGTGTGGAGTTCATCTCCCAGAATTCCCCAGCCAGCATCCTGGTTTAGTGTAAGAGGGGAACCTTGGACAAGCTTTTGAGATTCTGTTATTCCTTCTCACACAATAAAGAGCATTCCTGGAATCTTGTTGCATGACCTGGCCTCCCTCTCAGGGCTGGTATCAACTTGAAAACCTGCCCAAGTTTCTCCCTGTCCCATCTTATACTAAAGAAAATCAAGGCGGGGTTCTTTAGAGTTTCTTTCTCACCCTTTCTGCTTTTTCAGAACTCTCGTGTAATCTCTTTATTACACCGCCCCCCAATATTCTTTTACACACACTAAATTTTGACTGATGAGTTTTATCAGGCTGCAAGAGAGGTGAAGATGGGGCATTGGGCTCCAGGCATTTGAAAGTCACCCCATGGGTGGGTGGGTGTCACTGGGCCCAGTCAGTTAACCAACAAAAGCACTGTGTGGGAGTTTGAGTGATGGGAAATGTGAATGAGTGACCCACAACTCTTTATTGGTACATAAATCCTTCTTCCCCAACCTGCTCTCTGTCCAGCATTGTTGGGCTAAAACTGCACACTTTCGGGCTTGATGGGAACTAATTTTATCCATGAGGTTGGGGGAAACTGGCATTGAGTTCTTTTGGTTAACGTGTTCCCCTCCCTCCCTCCACCATGCAATAGAAAGAAGAAAAATGAGACACTTCTCAGGATCCAGGAGCTGAAACATTTACTCTCTGAAATTCCTCAGAAAGGTAAGAATGCAAAGCCCCTTGATTTGGGATCTGGTATTTAGGGTATAACCAGGTATCAGATACAAGGGAAGGCTATGCAAATGTGCAAATCCCTTGTGGGCGTTCCTGCTTAACCCTTTCCAAGATGAAAACGTCATTCAGCGAGGGTCAAAACTGACATCATTCACCTTTCATGGCAATTGGGTAGTGGGGGGGGGGAGAGAGATGCATTCTGGATCCACAGCATGGCACCCTAAGACACCAGCGTACCCACTGACACGTTCCTTGGCCAGCTTGATTTCGGTACATGTGTCTGTGTCTCTGAGGCAATCTTGACCCAGGGCAACAGCTTGGAGGAGTCTTTGCAGTGTTCTTGGCAAGGTTTTCAGAAGTG